TTTTTTTTTTTTTTTTTTTTTTTTTTTTTTTTTTTTTTTTTTTTTTTTTTTTTTTTTTTTTTTTTTTTGAGAAATTAGTTATTTTGATAGCAACCTTTAAAATTTTAAAAATAACAAAAATACATATATTATATTTTATATGCATTCATATTCGTTATTATGGGTGAAATCTCAATATTTATTATTAGGTATATCAGTATTTTTTTTAATATTACATTAACGAAAAAATTGAGATTTTAAGTACGCATATCCTAAGTGTGCTCGGGTAAGCAAGTAGTACATTTTTTCACCAAAAAGATAGGGAGGAAAGGGTTTGGGACGTTTTATATTTCTCTAGAGCTCGATAAATACAATAAAGACAAGTAATATAACATGTTGGAATTAATCAAATTGTGAGTATATGTTTATTTATATTTTATCATGTATATTAAAAAATAATAATTGGTTAATTTTGAATTAAGCTCAAAACCAGACGGAACGGCGTCGTTTAAGGGGTGGTAAAACCCGGCAAACGCTGTCCTTCAGTTCATCTCTCTGTCTCCTCGCTCCATTTTTCTCTGAAAAAGCTCGAGTTCCTTTGAATTGGTCGACCGATTCGTCCTTGTTTCCCTCGAATTCAGCCCATTATGTCCAAAATTGGAGCGGATCCCAGTAGTGATTCAGAGTTCTCTGCCACATTTGGATTCAGATTTCTGATGTATAAATTTGGTTTTGAAGTTAATCACTCGAAGCCTTTCATCTTGTCCCGTCGCATTCGAATTAATCTGGCAGACAAGGCTTCGGACGGCTTGGGGTTCTAATCGCCCTTGTTTTTTTCTTGGTTTCTGGGGGTGAATTCTTTCTTTTTTTTTCCTTCTCCCGAAGTTCTTGGATCTCTGATCGAGTCCATCTTGTAAAAGAGTAATTTGCTTCGTAATGGCTTTCACAGGAACGTTGGATAAATGCAAGGCTTGTGATAAGACTGTTTATGTTGTTGATTTATTGTCTCTTGAAGGAATTCCTTACCACAAGCATTGCTTCAAATGCAGCCACTGCAAAGGCACTCTTTCGGTTAGTCTCTCTCAATTTGAAATCATCATTTCGTATTAGAACACTCGATTTTGGCGGATTTGATCCGAATTGGTTGTCTATTACAGATGAGCAGCTACTCGTGGATGGATGGTGTCCTGTATTGCAAGACTCATTTCGAGCAACTCTTTAAAGAATCTGGAAATTTCAGCAAGAACTTTCAAAGTAATACACATTTCTTTCCATTCTTCTGTTTGTTCCTTTTTACTTTATTTCCTGACATTCTCTCATTTTCATGGTATTGAATCACAACAGCCAAGCCTTCTGAGAAGCAAAGTGAACTGGTAGGCTCCTACTCTTTTCATTTTTCTTAGGTTTAGAAAACAGAAAACTGCACAATTCTTGTGTTTTACATTTTCATATCTAAGCTTATTAGGATTAAGTCTAAATTTTCTTTCAAATCCTGATTTTGAATGTCATTCCTAATAATGTTGATAAACACAAATTGGTCTGGGAATTCTTGTTCTGTACCTGTATGGTTGTGATTTTGTTTCAATTTAGAGCTTGCTCGAGTCTATTGGCTTGTATAATATGATATCATTCCTATGATCATTTTATCCTCATTTTATATTGATAGTTCATGAAATTTGAAGCTTGTTCTCTCCATGAAAATGCTGTAATTTTGATACAAATTTCATAATCTTTGACAGACAAGGACCCCCAGCAAACTCTCCACCATGTTCTCTGGAACTCAAGATAAATGTTCTGTTTGCACCAAAACAGTTTATCCATTAGAGAAGGTCTGTAGTTCTTCCCTTTCTTTGATATCACATTGTTACTGGGTTGTTGTTGTCTGAATGAAACCTGCCACTTCTCAGGAATAAGATACAGAACGGGTTTGTAATGACATTTCAAGTTCGTATAGAGGCGTTTCTTGAATGTAACAACGTTGTTCGTCTGTTTTACGTAGTTTAAAAGAAAATGTTTGTTTTATGGTTCAGTTTTCAAAGCAAATTATCTGTGATTTGATCTGTTGATGCGTTACATCTAGGTTCGTATATGGCTCAAGAAAATTGAAAATTGAAATGTATATATGGCTAAACAGGTGACTCTGGAGGGGGAATGCTACCACAAGAATTGCTTTAGATGTGCTCATGGTGGATGCCATTTGACACACGGTTCATATGCTGCTCTTGATGGAGTATTGTACTGCAAGCACCATTTTTCTCAGCTGTTCATGGTCAAAGGCAACTACAACCATGTCCTTGAAGCTGCTGCAAACAAGAAAAACACCACACCCCCGGCCGATCGCGCCGAAGAAGATGCCGAGTCTCAGCCTCAATCCGAGGATCATGCAGTAGAGCAATCTTGAAATGCCTTTTCTGCTCTACCAGCATTTGAGAATTCTTCTTCTTCTTCCTCTTCGCTTCATTCTTCTTATGAAACTACCAAATTTATTTTCTACTGGGAAAGAGAAACCAAAACCTTCACCATTTGTTTTTGTTCACATTCACATTGACTTCCTATTTATAATGTTGTAATTCAAGGCCCTATTTGTCAGCCTTGTACACACAGCTTTCAAAGAATTGCACCATAGTTTCTGTGTGAATGAGATGCTGGAATAAAATGCAGATCTTACCTGCAATTTCAAATATCTCCAAATACATTTTGCTACCCATTCCATTTCATGCTATTTACCATTTCGTAGTTGGTAGTTTGAGAGAAAGTGATATAGAACTGTAATAGCCGAACCTCACTGTTATCAGATATTCAATTTCTATTTGTTGGTTTGATTTTGTTCGGTTCTGACAGTGACACACCATTTCACCTATCATTTTTTACGTGGTTAGTGTCTCGAGCATGGGTCTCCGCTTGCTCCTTCATACTAGTAGCTCGAGATACTTTATTCCCCCTTTTTACTTCTTATTAGCAGTCTAATTTTATTCCCCTTTTTTACTAATTTTTGTCATTGAGTTAGTTTGATATCCTGGCATATTCCCAGACAATATTCTGTGAACCATTCTGTCCCACAAGCACTATTGGGTCTATTCTTTCATGTCTTCTTATATCTCAGTAGACAGCTTTGGATTTTTGTTGTTAAATGAAAGTTTGTACTACTTCGATGAAAGTTTGTAGTACCACACGAGGAGATTCAAATATTTTGAATCACGTGGTCAAACTTAAGTCCATCGCTAACAAATATTATTTGTTTTGGCCTATTATATGTCGACAACTTCACGGATCTCACAATCCAACCTACTTTGACTAGCGTCTTTATTGACATGGCACACTGGGCACATCTCACAATCCAACCTTCTTGGAGATTAGCGTCCACACTGACACACTGGGCAACTGACTGACACACTGGGCAACTGGCTCACACAGACTCGTTTGGTTTTGATATTATTTATAAAAGCCTCACACAGACTTATTTTGTTTGGTTCTGATATTATTTAAGGTTTTGATATTATTTATTATAGTCTCACACGTACTTGTTTGATTCTGATATTATTTATAATAGCCTAACCCACCGTTAATATTGGCCTCACATAGACCGTTAATATTGGGTCACTTACTTTCGCAAGGGAGAGGACCTTCTTTAAATACCATCCATGCAAATTAATTGATTAATATGTCAATTAAATATTAAAAAAAATGTCAAAATAGTATTAGAAATGTCATAAATACACATAATTATTTTCTAATTTTATAAAATTGAAAAAACTTGCGTATTAATGAAAATTGAGATTTTCTATATGAAAAAAAATTAATAAATAAACATTTGACATTGACTTTTTGGATCAGTCTTATCCTATGGCCTAATGCTCGATACTGATGAGTTTCATGCACTCTAAATCTGACATGTTCTTATCCTACAATGGCACGGCTTGAAAAAGGAGCTGATGAGTTTGCGCTCTAAATCTGACCTGTTCTTATCCTACAATGGCACGGCTTGAAAAAGGATCGATTTTTTTTTATGAAAAATTTTCTCCATATTTAAATTATCCCCCATTGTAATAATATATTTTAAAAATAATTTATGTATATATATTTATAATAGAGGTAGATTGGATAATTAAAGTAGTTGTAAAATACTAAACTCGCGCTGTTGCTGACAGGGAGCTTCCTTCACTCGACTCCCTCCACTTGATCATTATGCCTTTTATTAGTCGACTGCGTATCACGCGCCTAAGAAGCGCGCGTGTCTTTGTGCCTTTCATTCCGAATATCCAACGCCCCGCAAACGAATCAACGATGAGCCCGTCGACCAACGAAGGGCCATTTCTGTAAAATCGCGAGAAATATCAAAGAGCAGCTGGTGGCTTTTCTCGGCCGAAACTTTCATTTTCCCACCATCCAAACAAAACGCGAGTTCACTACAAATTTTCTCTCATTTGTTTCCATTTCTGCATCTCCCGGACTGTCATAGCCGAGCTTCGTGTTCTATCTGAGTTTCTCTGCCGCCGACGTTCACCATTGTTTTCTCAGCCATCAGCATCGGTTTGTTCATCCTCTGTTGAGAAATATGGTTTAATATGTCTGGATAGTGCGTTTTGGTATAGAAACGTCTTGTGAGTGTGTATTGGTAGCTCGTGTGTTGTTATTACTTGTTTTCTTTTTTTTAATCTGCCGGCTGCGTTTTGGATTTGTTTGCATTACTATGTTGTTTTGTGCTCCGTGTGAA